ACCCCATCAAAAAATGGGGCAATGAAATGAACAGAAACTTTCTCAAAGAAGAAATCCGAATGGCAAAAAAGCACATGAGAAAATGCTCTACATCATTAATCATCAGGGAGATGCAGATCAAAACCACAATGAGATAGCATCTCACACCTCAGAGACTGGCCCACATTCAAAAGAACAAAAGCAACCGTTGCTGGCGCAGATGTGGCGAGAAAGGGACACTCCTTCACTGTTGGTGGGAATGTCCACTGGTTCAGCCCTTCTGGAAAACAGTATGGACGTTCCTCAAAAAATTAGAAATTGAGCTCCCATTTGACCCAGCGATACCACTCCTGGGAATATATCCCAGAGAGGCAAAAACGTGTAGCCGAAGTGACATCTGCACTTGTTTGTTCATTGCAGCACTCTTTACAGTAGCCAGAAACTGGAAGAGACCTGAGTGCCCAAGAACAGATGACTGGTTAAAGAAACTTTGGTACATCTACACAATGGAGTACTATGTGGCTCTTAGAAAAGATGAAGTCATGAACTTTACATACAAGTGGTACAATATGGAAAGTATCATGCTAAGCGAAATGAGTCAGAAAGAGAGGGATAGACATAGAAAGATAGCATTCATCTGGGGGATATAAAATAATAAAATATGAGATTAATACCCAAGAATAGCTGAGAGCAACACCAGGAGAATTACTCCATAACTTAGAGGCCAGCTGGGTATTCTAGGGGAAAGGACAATTCAGATAGAAAGGGGAACACCAAGTGGAGGGTGTTTGGAGGATCCTCCCAGGAGGGGAGATGCAGGTTGAAAGTAGACTGGACTGAACATGTTCGCCACTCAATGCCTCTTTGGCTGATCACAGCGCCCAGGAGGAGAGAGAGAACAGGGGGGAATGCCCTGCCACAGTGGCAGGGGGGGATGGGGGGATGGGAGGATGGGGGGGGAGGGATATTATCCTGGTGGTGGAAAATGGGCACTGGTGGAGGGATGGGTATTTGATCGTGGTATGACCGAGATCCAAGCACAAAAATTTGTAAATCTACAACTGTACCTCATGTCGTTTCACTAATAAAAAAGAAAAAAAAATTTCTGTTTCCTCAAGTTAAGTTGAAAAGCATCTCTCAATTCTTCGTCAGTTCCCTGACCCTGACAAGGCGACTCCGATTGTTGGGGTGAATATTGCATGTAAAGGGTTTTTTTTCCTTTAAAAAACAAAGGGTTATTTTTTAATTCTTTTCTATTTTACAAGGCAGTTTACTACATTTGATTACATTTAATATTCAAACACCAATCCCAGCTAGTTGGGTTTTTTGAAGATGGGGAGATATTTGTTTCGGGATCACTCCTGCTGCATTAGAAATTTATTTAGAAAGAGTCAGAGTGGTAGTACAGCGGGGAGGGCTCTTACCTTGCACAAGGCCAATACAGGTTCAATTCCTGGAATTCAAACGGTCCCACAAGCCACAACAGGAGTGATCCCTGAGTGCCAAGTTCAAATAAACCCTGAGTACTGCATGTTGTGACCCCAAAATCAAAACACACTCACACACAGATACACACACTCATGATAATTTTGTGACCAGAATGAGGCTAAAGGTTTGTTCATGCTGAGCCCCTGTGGCTGCCCGATGGCAGAGCCACTTTGGGGGCTGTGGCTGCTGTGGGCATCCCTGAAGCTCATGGTCTAGGAGGCAGCCTCTGGCTGGGCCCATAAGGACCTTCCTTGGGATCCAGGGAGGAGTCCCGGATCTCAGGGCTGCAACATCCTCCCCTGTACACTGAGGCCATCACTCCTATCCTGACATACAGCCCAAATCCCAGGCTGTTTTGCATCCCCTGGAGAGGAAGGAGCATCTGGCAGTGTCTCCCCCAGGTGGGGCTTGACCTGGTACCCCAGAGTGCCTGCCATCAGGACATTTCCGGGTCCAAGGCTGGAACTTTCCAGGTCAGGGCTAGAGGTTTGTGAGTAGAGACTCACAGCTCTGACTTCTTGTGAGTAGAGACTCACAGCTCTGACTTCTCCTCCAGGTCTTTATTTTGGAGTCTACTGCTGATTCTTGGGAATAACAGGAAGGATAAGATCATGCTGAGGCTTGCTCCTGGAGGTTGCTTGCATGGAATCTTAGTGAATTTTATTCTTTTCATGAAAACATGGGGCTGGAGCGATAGCACAGTGGAAGGGAAGGGTATATTAGTGAAACCCAAACATGAACTACCTGTATATCTCACAGTGATTCAATTAAACAAAGAAATAAACAAAACCCCACTTGCTATAAAAGCAGGTCTGGAAAGAGGTAGAGCAAAGGTACAGTTGAGGTTCAAGATGCGTGAGGACAAGGACTGCTCCATGGCTTAGGAGGTTGAAGCTGGCCCCTCAGGACAGTCCCCAGCACCAAGTGTGTTTCTGATAATGGTGCCCTTTATGTGCTCACCCAACAGCTCCAAGTGTCTGAACACGGCAACTAAAGAGATGTTTGGCCATGCTGTCAGGAATACTGCCTCCTCACAGAATGTGTGACAGCACCACAACCAAAGGAACACGAGCCCTCCAGCATGTTGGTGGGTGTAGGACCACTGGCCACTGAGACAGCACCTGCCATCCGGAAAACCTGGCTTTGAATTGATGGGCAATGGACAGAATTTATAGGGTGTTTTCTGACAGAGCTTGGAACAGGGTATAAACTTATGGTTAAATAATTCAGAAGAGCACTTCTTATAAACTGCCCCAGGCCCAGCGCAGATGGATCTTGCTTGTTTGTGGTTCTAAAATGCAGATCAGAAGTCAGCAGGCTTGGGTGGTGTAGGGTAACATTCGTCTGTCCTTTGTTTGACATTGTCTGACACTCCCATTCCTCTGTGTTTATTGGAATATAGCTCTAAACATTTTAGGCTTACCATTGGTTTGTCCTTTCTCCCTGGCCGCAGGGAGTTTGGATTTACTGAGTAATACCCATCACAGTGAACTTGAGACACTCCCATTCCTATTTATCTGTAACCTCTTACTTTGTGCTCTGCTTCCCCAACAGGTCAATCACTTGTATCCTGTAATTAGACTCTGTTAACTTGTAAGGTCATATCCTTCTAGGACCTGCTTTTGTAAGTGAAATATTGCCTTTCTCTTCTCCTTATGCCCTTTTACTTCAGAGCAATGTCCTTTTTGTACAGACACAGGAAGACAGTTAATGCTATGGGTAATTTGGGAGCTAATTCAACTCCAAATAATACTCACTCCTGGTATTTTCTCGACGTAAGCCTCAGTTGCCCTTACTTCCTAGCACCCCAAAAGCAGGCTCCCAACAAGGGACTGAATGGACCCAGGGCAAGCAGTGAGCTACCCTGGCATTGAAATGGGCCAGGCCAAGGTACCATAATACTTAACTATAAGAGTACAGTCATGGACAAATTCTGTCATGATCCAAAAAGTAACAACTAGATTAGGACCCTGCTAGGGTTAGAAAAGATTAATCTGGCTTGAGTACTGCTATCTAAAATCTATAGCAAGATGTCTCCAGGAGAGCTACCCTAGAAGCTTAATGTATCTCTGTGTCCATACAAAAAGGCTAATATTTATGAATGTTTATGTTTGCTGGACTAGCACAGATGTTATTTTGCCCTTGGGTAGGTGATCCTGATGAATGAGAATCTGTCCTAGAAGAAGCTTCCCCTGGGGGAAGGACTTTACCTCTGTTGATTGTATGACCACACCTACACGTAACTGTTACCCCAACCACTCATGATTTGGGATAAGGCAGTGAGAGTGGGTGGGGGGGGGGGAGAGGAGGGAATGAGGAAGAAGAATGATGATAAGACTGGAATAAACTGCAATTGATACCAACCAGTATGGCCCTCATTCCCTCCTTAGTCCACCCATTGAGGAAGCGGCCTGAGACCACCATGCAGGCAGGAGCGAGAGAGAGAGCGCTGCACCTTTTGTATTCATTTTTGGAATACACAGGGTGGGACTGAGACCTGTGTTCAGAGGAAAGCAAAATCAAAGCCAAACACAGTTCCTGGAGAACATCATTCCCGACTGAGTGACAGCCTTTGGGCCTGCTTTCTATCCTTGAACAACCAGTAAGTTTCTCATTTTTTTGCTTCTGATGGCCTATATTGAAGGAGTTTTGCCCATTTCAGCCTCCCGAGGCTTCTGCCTTGTGCAACACAGCTGCCAGCCCTGGTTACTTCTCCCAGTTCCCTTTAAGCCGTAGAGTAATCCAGGGCTACAATCACTCTTACTTGACTTCATCTCACAGATCTCTCAGACCTACATTAATGTCAGTGTTTTGATATATTGGTGATCAAATACTGAGAGGGAGACAACTCCCATCATCTGCTAACGAAATTTGTTACTTTTTATTCCTATGTCTCTAGGATGTTAGCTTTGTTTGCTAACATACTAAAAAAAAAAAAAAACCTGTTTACTTTTTCACTGATTCACTTCTTAATGCCAAAGAAGTCCAAACTTTCTACTTAGTATGCATTCTGTGCATGGCTAATCCAGATGTACTTGCAGAATTTGTAGTAGTCCTTGACTATCCCTCATCTCTCATGCCAATAAAACTCCACAGGAGGACAAGTTGGGTGCTGCGGTGGAATGCTTTGAGATTCCAGACTTCCACCCACCTTCACTGATGATCTGCTCAAACAGACCTTGCAGGCTTCCTGTCTTGGCTTCCTCCCCGCCTCACCCTCGTCCTGGAATATGTGAAATTTGACTACAATCTGCCTCTTTCCTAACTGGCTCAAAATAGCCCACAGGACCCCACTGCTGGGAAGGACTCTAGACTCGCCTCAAAGTCCCCTCACGCCCACACACAAATTTACACCCACTCTCATATGACATTTCCTCTCTAAAATAATCTTTTTTAACTAAAATTGGGCTAAAGAGTGATTTATTCACAAAGGAGAGAAAAAAAACCATACCAACTATATCCTATCCCAGAAAAATGTTTTAATATCTCTTGTGTACAAACAGGATTTAAGAACATAACTCTAGAGCACCATGCACATGGTAAGATTTATATTTTATTAGAGATTTTATATTACATATTCCCAAAAAGATATAAAATCTTCCAAGAGAAAATATCAAAACCTATTGGTTCCAAGGTAAGCACATAATCAAAATGAAAGCAAAGATTTTCTTCCAGATAAAGGAATGTGAAAACATTTCAGCACAAATACAACAAAGACATAGGAAGGTAATTACAATGTTTTACAACACATTTACAGCATTTTATTTTAAATCAGTATTTGTATAAAAGAAGGATGCTCTGTTCTCAAACAGTGCAGTTGAAAGCCCAAGTGGAAAAAAAATAGAGGAGAGGTTAATGTGCTACTTGGTCAACAGAAATATTTGTGATAATAAATGTAATGAAACCTAAGCAAACAAGTAGGCCACAGAGATCACCACTCCAAGTGTATGGTTTTCAGTGTGAGCTGGAGACACTAAATTATTTAATCAGTTCTTGACCACAACCCAAAGCAAAAGCATCCTCTCTTCATTTCCCTGATTTATCCTAAAAATAAAAAAGCAGAAACTTGCTGGTAAAGAGATTTTCTGCTATAGCTGGTGGCAAACACACACTGATGAAGATCCTGACTGACTAGGGACAGACAGACCCGGCTCAAACAATGTCAAGTGGCAACGTCACTGTTATTGCAGCGATACTGGATTCCAAATGATCAGAACTTCCAGGATGATGAAACATACTCACTTAACCACGGACCATAGGGAATGTCCAGAGGAAAGTTTTATAGTTAAGATGCAAATAGTGATCTTATTCCTGGGATTTGCTTCTGGCAATCCTGACATCTGTAGATGTCCAAGAAAAGGAAGCTTTTTTTCTCTTCTGTAGTTGTTTATTCCCCTCCAAAAGGAGGACAGAAACTTACAGTACATGTTTATTGCATGAAATTATTCCCTTATAATATCTTTATCAACACTGGTATTGTTTCTTTAGTTATTAAAGGCAAAAGAAATCTATAAATTTAATGCAACTTTCCAATAATCTTAGGAGCTGCATCTTGACTGAAAATTCAGATGAGCAGCAGAACACGTATGAAAGACAAGGTGTATAAAGTTCTTCATAAAGATGCTGGAATAAGAGACAGCAGAAATTTGAAAGTCATCTAATACTAAACCTATGGATTAACGGCTAATTTTCTAGAGTCTGTACTTAAAGAATCCTCTTTCAGTTAAAGCTGAAAGTTTGGAATGATACTAATGAAGCTTCTAGTACTATCAGTTAGCAATGATCCCCAACCAATACATCAGAAGAACTGTAATGGCACATAGGTTAGACTTCACTGAGGTCAGCACACAGGGGAGTTCAGAACTCAGGACAAACACACTAAAAAAAATCATGATGGATTACAAAGAAGTGAGTTTCCAGCAGGGTCAAATTTAAAGCATTCTCTCCTTCAGAAACCATGAGGGCTCTGATGTCCCAGAATCCCAGCTTCCAGCTGCCGGCTCCTTGGCAGTAGCTTATCTCATTGATGATATTTTCCTTCCTTGTTTTGTTTTCTGACATCTCAGTACATTCAAATAGTCAAAATGTATACGGTGACATCACTACAAACTTAATGAAACAGATTAGAAGGTGGCCAGCATTGTCAGGTGAAAATGATACAATTTATGTGTCATAGAAAGTACCCAGCCCCCCACTCCTGACAACCCCTCTTGACCCAAACAGTAATATGGACACCGAAGGACTTAACAAGACTTATAAAAAAATAAGGCACATTTATTCTGATATGGTAATTTAAAAATAGAAAACCCCTTCTCAGAACATCTGTATTCAAATGAGCTGTGTAAAAAGACACCATGGGGGTGCCTGGAAGAGGTCTTGGCGCCCGTGGAATCGCTCCTACGGTTTCAGTGGCAATGGAATGAATTGCACCTATCCCATGTGATCAAGTAATGAAAATAGTTCTCTTTTACTACTCTTTAATGATTCAGAATCTGTTACTTCTGGAAATACATACAAAGGGCAGGATGGGGCAAGTGGTATAGTAGAAAAATCAAGTTAGTCCCATAGTAGGGGTGACAGATTGCACTTTTCCACATATTTCGGCACACAAATTTTCCTAACATGTTTGAAAGATTGCAATTATTTTGGCCATTAGCTACTTATTACCCACCAGCTTCTTTATTCCATTTTAGTAAAAAAATGGGAATTTTTAAAAAGCAGTGAAGTATCAGCAACATGACTACTTAGAACAATCTCTTTACAACCTCCAACACAGATATAATTATTGAGCGTTAACCTGAGATACAATCTGTTGAAAGGTTGTCTTTATTCATTTCTTCATCTGTTGCATCGATTCATACTGATGGTGGTTGTTCACGGAGGAAATTGAAAGGAAAAAAACTGGCATAATTATAGCATGGCTTTTTTCTTTTTCTTTCTTACCATATTGGTTGAAAAAAAGGAACAGAATTTCTGTTAATCATAGTAGCCAGAGGCTAAAATAATGCACTTCCTTATTGCATGCCAAATCGAGAAACATCTAAAAGCCAATGCTTCCCAGTCCAGAAAGGAAAGCCAGGTTCACCTCAACCGGATTCGGAATGTGCTGATTTCCATGGGACTTAAGCTGATCTCACTTATGTTGCGGGCGTTGGGAGGGGAGAACATCAAGGATAACGATGAAGGTACGAGACTCTCAACAGTAAACTTGCTGAAAAGGGTCTGGACCACAATCTAAAAAAGTAAATGATAAAAATGAGCATATTTAGTTCAACTGTGAAGAAAGGTCTATAGGTGCATGTGTATGCTCAGGGGTAAGAGGATGGGAAGAGTCCAAGAAGATGTCGGAATTTCCTTCTCAGGAGCAATAGGGGAGACTGAGACACACTTCGTGATTTGCCGCACTCTGGTCACCCGGGGGCTGCATTTTGGAGGATCTGTGCTCTCTTACCCAGACCTGTTTTCCCTTTTCCGCTAGAGCTGAGAGAGCAGGGGGCAGACTCCCCGAAGGACAGAGGCTTATCAAGTCAGAGAGTCCCATGCCCTGCCAGGCTCTTCTGATACCCCCTGGACTTCAAACTCCTTCAAAAATCTCAACAGAACTACTCAGGGCCATGCAGACCCAGACTATCACAATGACAGCACACACTGACCACACAGAGATACCAGTGCTATCTTCATCCTGACTTCATGTTAGTGAGATTAAAACGAAAGAAGCATCAGAGCTCCTCTGTTTGAGTAGCCAGAGCCCCATCAGGGTTCAGCACCCCCCCCCCCCCCATCGGCTGCAGGGAAGTGTTCTCTGTGGCAAGCTGCTCCAAGGGTGTTAGAGCAACAAATAGGTTCCCGTAGCCTTGGGGAAGCAGGAAAATTTGTTTGTTGACTTAAAGAAAGGTTGATTTCCAGGGCCATGTTGAGTGATTTTTCTTTTTCCCCTAACAGTGGGTAGAATACCAAGAAGGCTTGGAGACCTCTGGGTGAGACCAGGGCAAGCTGAGGCCCAGTGAGGCCGGGGCTGGATCCCACCACTTCTCAGGTGGTACTGTCAACCTAAACAAGCCCAGGAGAGGTGGGCAGTCTGGTGAGTGAAGGCCAGAGAGTTTGTCCCACCTCAGAGTGAACTCGCAGGAAGTTCCCCCGGGAGCAACTGACTGGAGAAGTCCAGCTGCCCATGGTCCTACTGTTGGGCTACTATGAAACTAGCTGTGGCCAGCATTGCTGGGGTGGCCCCTGCTGACTTCTATCGCAGCCGAGGGCACGGGGTGGGGTAGGCTGATCTCTCAACCCGTCCGACTCACACCGAGGGAGTTTGTGGGCTGCAGTCCCCCAGCAGAGGACACTGCATCCTGAGAGGCACTTTCTCAGGAATGGAGAGCACTCCCCTGCATAGGAGGGCCCTGGGCAGAGAGCAATGGCAGTGTCTCCTGGTCCTGTCTGACAGGGGCAGGGTAGTACAGCCCCGGGAGTGGCAAGTGGGCTCACCTTGCCCTTGCTGGTGGAGCATGACAGCCCTGTGTTCTTGCTGGAGAAGCGGCAGTCGAAGCCCCTCCTGTGCAGGATCAAAGCTGCCTCATCGGGGTGCTGGCCGTCACCCTGCAATGGAAGGGCATGGGGTTAGGGCAGACATGGAAACCCACACACGCTACCGGCTTGGTGACCTCCTCCCCAGACCACAAACGTCTCCTGGAGCCATGTGAGAGCCCCTCATGGTGCCCAGGAAGGGTCCTATCATGTCATCTGATGCCTTGGTCATTTCCTCCACAGGCCCCCAAGACCAGGGCTACTGTGTCCATACACTACCTACTACATCATCACATAAAGCACTGCATTTTTCTCCATTTTCTTTCCAGTTTATTCATCAGCTGAATAAACTGCAGCTCTATTTAGTCTTCATCTGGTCAATGATGATGTATCACCCACCTTAAAATGAGAACATGCTCCTTTATTGAACACTAATTTTTGCTAATTGCATTAACATTTTTAATCAGCAATGTATTGGTTCATTATTTCTACAGAAGACATGTACATTAGTTAGGCTTATCACTTTGCTAGGCCAACCACATTTCTTAGCTCGATGTATCCCTGGGATCTGTTACAGAGGCTACTCCTAGGAGGGCGACAAGGGAAAGACTGCACGTGGCACCAGTCACAGGCCATGTACACTTTCCTGTGCCAACAGGTCTCACACCCATTTAAGTTATGGTCTCATAAAAGGTTCAAGTCTTTGAACTTTTAAAGTGATAATTATTTTATTAAAATTTATGTTTCCTAGAGTGGGAAGACAGATATGGCAAGGAAAAAAACAATAAGCTAAGTAAAGTGAAAATCTCCAGGAGAGGCAGTGGGAGCTGAGAGGCATGCCAGCGGCAGAGCCCATGTTTCATGTGTCTAGGGCACTGCAGAGCAGCAAGGAGGCTCGGGTGTTCAGTGAGCAGCTGGGTGCTGCCTTCACTGACAGTATGATGAAAATGATCCCCCTTTCCTTCTGTGGCCACAGACTCAAATCTAGCCCAATTCTGGATCATCCTCACTTGGGGACAGGATTTAATGCATCTGAGATGCCTTTTCTGAAGTGCTGCCAGCATGCCCACTGCTGATTTGATTTTAATGTGCCTGAACAATTTAGAGCTGTCTTCACCTTAGATTCTTGGCTGGAATCACCTGTTTTTTATGATATTTCACACTGATAAAGCTAAGATTTTGTTTGAAGGGAGAGAAAAATGTCATTTACAAAATCTGGCTCATCTCAGGACCACATGATATACATAGCAAGATGAAATCCTGATAAAATTTCTAATGAAATTTCAATAAATTTCATAGAGTACTCAAACAGTACAACTACACATATAAGAAAACACTTCATTTATTACAGATATAAGATCTTTCAAAAGAAAAAGAGAACAGTCCCAGGTCATATGTGAATGCGTGAAGAGTCACTGACTCTAAAGAGTCACTGTCTCTTTCTAAATATCAGTTTGTCCGTTAAATGGAATTAATCCATGTCTATCTTCTTCATGGAGTTGTGGTATGGGGTAACTGTCGAAAATTACTATACCAGGTAGCTTAGCTAGCAGGATAGAAAAAGCTAGTACTGAAGCTATAGATGTTTTATTTCTGGGGCCATATCCAGTGTGCTCAGGACTTACTAATAGCTGCACTCCTGGTGGGGACTGGGGGACCAAATGTGCTGACAGGAACTGGACTTCAGGCCAGTCAAGTGCAAGGTAAGCGCCTACCCACTGTACTGTCTCTCCAGCTCTGAGATATGGATGTTTTAGAACCTGGACTGGGAGGCAGCCTGATACGTGGATTTTAACTGCAATTTATTGGCTGCTAATTAGGTTATCCTTTACTAGAAGATGGAGACAAAATCTAATGAAATAGTGTAATCAGGTCTGAGGCATAAAGTAGCACTGTAGCACTGTCCTCCCGTTGTTCGATTTGCTCAAGTGGCCACCAGTAACGTCTGCATTGTAAAACTTGTTACTGTTTTTGGTATATCGAATACACCATGGGGAGCTTGCCAGGCTCTGCTGTGTGGGTGAGACTCTCTTGGTAGCTTACCAGGCTCTATGAGAGGAACAGAGGACTCAAACCCAGGTCGGTCACGTGCAAGGCAAACCCTACCTGCTTTGCTATCTCTCCAGCCTTAGAGCCATAAAGTAATATAAGAATAGTGTCCAGCACGTGGAAAGTATCATGTTAATGAAATGAGTCAGAAAGAGAGGGATAGACATAGAAAGATTACACTCATCTGTGGAATATAAAGTAACAGAATGGGAGACTAACACCCAAGAATAGTAGAGATAAGGACCAGGAGGTTTATTCCATGGCTTGGAAGCTGGCCTCACATACTGGGGGGAAAGGCTGCTCAGATAGAGAAGGGAACATCAAGTAAAGGGTGTTTGGAGGATCTGCTCAGGATGGGAGGTGCGTGCCAAATGTAGACTATAGACCAAACACAATGGCCACTCAATGCCTCTACTGCAAATCACAACACCCAAAAGAAGAGAGAGAACAAAAGGGAATGCCCTGCCACAGAGGCGAGGTGGGGTGTGTGTGGGGGGGAACAGGGTGGGGATAGTGAGAGGGGATACTGGGATCATTGGTGGTGGAGAATGGGCACTGGTGGAGTGATGGGTACTCGATCATTGTATGACTGAAAAGTAACCATGAAAGTTTGTAAGTATGTAACTGTACCTCACGGTGACTCACTATTAATAAACAAATAAATAAATAATAATAAAAAAGAATAGTGTCTAGTGCTTAAAGTCCTCAGTATGTTATCTATTATTATTTCTATAATCCCTTAGATTATATTCATAATAGCTAGAGATTTAATGATACTCAGATTCAATTTATTAACTTCCTTTACTGACATAACTTTGTAGCAAAGGAATCAGAAAACAAAAAAATCAGGTGTCTACAATTCACCTCAGTATCATAACAACACTTTAATTCAGATACCCAGATTATACTGTTAATGAGACACTTTGAAAAGTACCTATCACAATTAACCTTGAGAGCTCCAGCAGTTTAACTCACAGGTCACAACTCCCCACCCTACTGTCTCCTTTTCAGAATATTTTACTCCATGTTTTCCTGGAAGTCTATTTTCTTCAAACAGGAAATGCCCCCCTCAACTGCACCCAAGGCTACAATCACCTCTTAGGGTCAGTTTAGCACCCACATAGGACTGTATTCAATCATCTATACAAAATATAACAACTGCTGTTACAACTACCACTACATATTTGCTCCTGCAATAATGAGTAAAAGGTTTACAGCAACCTACAGGTGACCAGAAAAAGTGAGATAAGAAACACCTTTGGAATTTACTGTCCTTACATTTTATCAGAAGTAGAAATAAATGAAACAAAAGAAGAATAAAACCATACAAATTACTTTTCACTAAAAGCAAAAAGTTATACTTTCTCTGAAAGCACACTTTCCTAAGGACTAGAACACCAACTGAAACAGTAATCATCTCCTCCAAGTTTAAAAAAAAAATCAAATATTCATGAAAGTATCAGTTTTCAAGCAAAAATACCTGAGGCAAAGCGGTTTTTCACTTTCAAAGTCTGTCTAGACATTTTATTTCCAGAAAACTGTTTTTCCAAGTAGGGAAACTGTGAATTTAACTTAAGTACGCATGCAGGAAAACAGATAACCTTCAAGTAGTCACAGTTAATACTATAGGAGAGTAAATAGATTTTTCAAAGATTTATATTCATTACTGCATTAATAGTATCTGCACTTAGAAAAGAGGGACAGGACAGAGGTAAGAAAATTCACAAACTTTGACACTGTACCGAGCCTTGTGCTGCATGACCTTCAAATTAAGCATCTCTGTAAAACGCAAAATGAGATTGGAGTTTAACTCTGCAGTAGGACTAAGCAGAACCCATATCTAAGGATAAACCCACACCCAGTTCATAGTCTACATGGAGCAAGGGAAGGATTTCTCCAGGCACTGGGTGGAGGATGAGGAAGAGATATGGATTCACAGAATGAAGCCAACAGAGCTAGGCTAGCAAGGTGAAAGTCACCACAAAATAGTTATGAGACAGGCACTAATGATATCACGTAACTGCTAAAAATCCAGGGACTGAGGTGAGATGCATGGAGAGCACCTCAGAGGATCAAGGGCCAATGACAATGACGGTAACAGTAACTGCTGATAAGACTTATTGAACACTTGGGGGGGGACTCATTTTGATCTCATAGTACCCCTTGACAAAGCTAGTGGGCAGACGACTTGTAAGATGATATTCAAATGTACGGACATCCCATGCATGCATCACATGCATCGTCTCGCACCCTTCAATAGGAATCATGGCCAACAATGCCAACGACCAGGCATCAATGCCCTTGGACTCCGCCTTCTGCAGTCTGAGCAGAGAATGCCATGATTCCACTGGTCCCCAATGATCTCAGCTGGCTGAACAAGATCAATAGAGTGAACAAGAAACAGGAGTGTCTCCCAAGGTTAATGTGCAGTGAATAACTTGGGATCTTATAAACTGGAAGTCTGTGGTGAGAGTCTGGAAGTCTGCACTCTATTAAGCTCCCTGGAGACCCCAATGTTGCCTGTCCAAAAGGCTGTCCCAGGGCTGAGGGTACAGCAGAGCAGTAGGGCACTTTTCTTCGTGTGAGAGGCACTAGGCTTGATTCCTGGAGCAACAAATATAACAAAATGCTGCTCCCATCATCTGAAGAGGCTCCTTCTTTTAATCATCAAGATCTCAATATTCTGGAAATGACAGCCTCTGAAGGAAGAAAGAGCAGATAGAGAAACAATCCATCAAAATATACCAAATATGGGTAGAATTGCCTAGAAGGCAAGCAGAGACACAGGGTTGTTACCTGAGGAGGAGAGAGGGTTGTGAGGAATGTCATGGGAGCCCACCTAAGGTATCAGGGGCTTCCACGCGTGGCAGAGAAATGGATAACAAGAGGAGGAGGGGAGGGCCCAAAATCCCAAGGGCGTGACACACCATCATCATTGGTGCATGTAAAGAGCCTATTTTTAATTAGTTTATAAAAGTATTTCAGCAAGGATAGTGATGAACTGCAACATAAATAACTCGAGA